CATTTTCAAGGCATTTGTTTGAGGTGTTGTCAATTTATCTTCATCGTTTGACTATTTAAAGTATATTTTATTTTTGTATTGTTTTGAATACTATTAGAAGCGTTTATTCCGAGCCTTCGCCTTTTGAGCGCAACTGGAATTCGTGTATCTTTCTATTAATAAAAAATAAATAAATAAAAAACTTTCAACACTCCATTCCCACTGTTAAATAAGCAAAGGTTGATAATGGGAGAGAGATTTTTAATATACAGGGTCTCACTTATAGCGAGATGTTTCCGGTAATGTGATTTATCTAGAATTGTTATGTTTTCGATCAGAATTTTTCTTAACGGTTCGTGTAAATTGTGGTTAGATAGATATTTTTTATAGCACTTTGATGTGATAAGTAATATATATAATAGTATAGTTAGAGCCCCCTAGGCGGTATTAATGGTTAGCAAGCTTGTCTCGCTCGAACAATTATGACTGAATAGTGAGTTCGATCCTCATTGGGTGCCCCACTGCCGTAACTGGGTATTGAACTTTATCCACTGTGCCATGTTGATAAAGGGTTCAGTTCGACATTCCAACCACCTGAAGAAGGCCGCAGTGTACAACGGCCGAAATGTTGTAATAAATATGGCGACAAAGATGAGGACAATAGTTCGAATAATGTAAATAATGTACATAATACCTCATCTCAGAAATATAGACAGATAAAATCGAACACACAAATGGAAATCAGACAACGCTTATCGTTATTTCGACGTCATGTTAACTTCTGTATTTAGGAAAAGGATAGTGATGGCTTCTTGACGCTATAAGACCCTATCCAACTACTTCAGTTATAGGCCTGGACATTCTTCTCTTGCTGATGGATTTTTTTTACTCCTGTGGCAGTGGAGACTTCAGGGGTTATTGGCCCTCGTTCGATGGCGTTCCTTCGGAGGATTGGCGCGATTGCATCTCGATTAAGGGACGAGCCTCGTGAAACGGAGTGGCTCTTGCAGCGTGTCTCACTGGCCATGGTTCGAGGTAATGCTTTCTCCATCATTGCGGCTGGCAGAGGATAGCAAAAAAAAAATTGTTTATAGTTACTTTGTTCAAACGTTTTTTCAGTAAATAAATTTCTCTATATTTTGTTTCTTGCTAAATTTTAGCGGCTCGAAACAAGTCAAATGTTCTATTTCGAGGTGAAACCAAATATGATGCCGCATATGAAAATTATTATAATTATGGTTGCCCATGATACTTTTTTAAATGCTAAATATCCCCCAATACAAGGATCGAGAGCCAATCAAAGTAGAGAGTTACAACCGAAATGCTAGTAATGAATTCGGTATGTAATATAAAGAAGAGAAGGTAAAAGGAAGTGGATCTTATGAAGATAAGGACGATAGATAACGACTGAATCTTGGCTTAAAAAAGGTTAAGACTGTAGTGTTCAGGGAAGCATACATGCGGGAGTCTGTTACACAAAGCAGTTCCTTGGAAAAATCGATTTGTGAGGAACTTCCTTCTTACAGTCGGAAAACACAGTGAATAGCGATGATTCGAACCTGTGGATAAAGCTTGCTGAGTTTTAGCGAGCCACTTTCTCGCCGACGTGACGTGGCTTGCCTCTGTCTTTTCTATAAATATTTTCATGATAGCTGCTCTGACGAGCTATTTTACCTGGTGCCCTTTATACATGAATTTAAGCGTGTTACTAGATTGGCATTTAGGTCCCGCCCGTTTACTGTTGAAATAGATAAATGCAACCGCCACTTCTACTCCATTACGTCATTTTTCTCTACCACCGTTTAACCGGTGCCTGGGCATTACGTCATTTTTCTCTACCACCGGTAAAGGGCTCAAAGGGTTAAAGCCAAATAACTAAATAAAAGTAAGTTTATATTTCTCTATGGATTTATTCTATATTAATGATCTGTGCTTCCTGCAATTGGAGACGATAAACTGCATCTGGCAGTAAGGCTTCTGATAAGACGATTGGAGGTTTTGAGGAACAAGGCACCACCTCTTAACTGTTGTTGTTCCCAGGTCCACCGTGACCTGGGGTGGTAGCACCTGTTAGGGTCCTAGCTATGGATAAATAGTGAACCCCCAAACAAAAATCAGCAATACATTTTTTATATCAAATGACCAACAATACATTTTTATAGCAAAATTTACAATCAGTGCAATGCTAAGAAAAACAATCTTAAACATAAAAATGTCTTTATATATATATATATATATATATATATATAATAAAAAAAAAATGTTAAACATAAAAATGTCTTTATATATATATATATATATATATATATATATATATATATATATATATGAATTATTCACACAAAACTAATGCAAAGGTTAATGCTTTAAATGGCGAGACATCCATCATCGCAAACAATTCAAATAGTATACAAAAACCTCCAGATCCGTTATGAATGAATTGATCCTTGTTTATATAAATTTCTGCCGTATTAGTTGTTATTTTTACTACAAGCTTTCGTCTGTTCCTACAGACATCTTCAGGTATAGAATAGATGTTGTTCTTGGTTTTTTCTCTTAGTAATAAGAGGACAACGAAAATATGTGTTGTTGTATCCGAAAATGCTATTGAAAATGAGTTATTGGTTTTGGAACGCGCCAAAGCAACGCTGAGTTTGACTTTAAATTTTTAAAGTGTTTGCGTTTATACCAAATATGGTGTTGAACAAATTTTTTTACTGGTAAATTTTTCTGTCAAAGTGGCATGAACTATATTGTTCAATAATTACAGTAATGTCGCAGTTATTATCCAAAAGTCGCACTTGGATCAGTTATTTAAATTACGATAAACGTGCAATCAATTTACAAATACATGAATTATTCACACAAAACTAATGCAAAGGTTAATGCTTTAAATGGCGAGACATCCATCATCGCAAACAATTCAAATAGTATACAAAAACCTCCAGATCCGTTATGAATGAATTGATCCTTGTTTATAAAAAAAAAAAAAAATTGTTCAACACCATATTTGGTATAAACGCAAACACTTTAAAAATTTAAAATCAAACTCAGCGTTGCTTTGGCGCGTTCCAAAACTAATAACTCATTTTCAATAGCATTTTCGGATACAATAACACATATTTTCGTTGTCCTCTTATTACTAAGAGAAAAAACCAAGAACAACATCTATTCTATACCTGAAGATGTCTGTAGGAACAGACGAAAGTTTGTAGTAAAAATAACAACTAATACGGCAGAAATTTATATAAACAAGGATCAATTCATTCATAACGGATCTGGAGGTTTTTGTATACTATTTGAATTGTTTGCGATGATGGATGTCTCGCCATTTAAAGCATTAACCTTTGCATTAGTTTTGTGTGAATAATTCATGTATTTGTAAATTGATTGCACGTTTATTGTAATATATATATATATATATATATATATATATATATATATATATATATACATTTTGTAGTAAAATTACCAACAATACATTTTATAATCTACAAACTATATATCTAAAAAAACATACGTATGTATAGCTGGCCACTCGTATTCGATGATACCCATCTAGGGCGGCTTGCTAATCCCTGTTGGAGACGCTTGATCAGGCGCATTTGTGTTTATTCAACAGAGCCCACCTGTGGTTTATACTGCAACTATGTCGAGCAGGCTTTAGTTACAGTTTCTGGCAAAGAGTGTTTTACTTGCGTTATCAACAATTTGAAAAAGGCCAGCATGCCGCTCAATCCCTCAGCCACGATGACTTGTGACTTCGTGCTAGCACAGCTATCGACGGGCCCAAGGGTTCCGTCTACTCAATTTTACTCACTGGCTGAATGGTTAGAATGTTCGAATTCTGATCATGAGACACGGGTTCGAATCTCATCATCGCCGATTTGTCAGGAAGGAGATTTCCTGATGTCATAGGACTGGAGTGGTCGATCTCAGCGTGCAGCAACTTTGGAAAGTGCCTGAAAACCATACCACGGGTTGACCCCAAGCCTTGTGAGTGAAATCTAAAAAAAACATACCTTTACACTTATAAAGTATAAAATTATGTACAGAATATATTCAGTTGAATCCATAAAATTGTGTTAAAACATATTTTAATTTCGGCAGTAAATAACGCATCGACGTTGATATGCCGCTAAACAACCAAGAACCTACAGATGGTCGTAGAACAACGATCTGCTTGTTATGATTAAAAGCAAGAAAAGTAAGATTAAAGAAATACTTGTGAAAAATTAATGAAAACTTTATAGGTTATTGTCAATCATTTTTCATTACCTTGTGGTTATTTTGTGGAGAAAGAAGTTATTTTATAGGTAGCAGGTGACTTGGAGAACACTGGAGAACGTTGGGTCACCTTGCCAGTATTAAAAAAAAAATATTACTCAACGGTCTGAATTATTTAATAAGTCTTTGGTGTTTAAATTTCAACAACTAACAAAGCAGGAATGTAAGGAGCAGAAGAAAAAAAAATTTTTTTTTTTTAATAGAAGCCAAAAAGAAGCGAAACAAAATAAGGCAGAAACGAAAACACACACACACACATACACATATACACACACATACACACATACACACATACACACACATATACATACACACACATACACACACATATACACACATACATACACACATACACACACATAAACACATATACACATACACACACATACACACACACATACACGCACATACACACACACATACACACACACATACACAAATAAATAAAATGGAGAAGAGTGGGAGATATGAAAAAAATGGTAAAAAAAAAAACCCCAAAAACAAACAGCCATCAGACGCGAGGTACTTTCTGATCCTTTTAAACCTATATCCATCATGTATTTTATTTTTTGATATGTGAAACAGCACCACACGAGGGATTCTGGGCTGGGTGGATTTTTTTTTTCTGGTTGCACATTGGGGAGTGGGGGGGTGCAAGTCGATGCGCAAGCAAGTTTGGAATTATGATAAACATGAAGAAGATGAGGCAGTTTTTAACTCCCCGTCTCATCCCCATGTCATCCTCTTTCTTTACTACGAAACGCTATTACCGACCCTCGCATTCGTCCGTTTCTTCCCCCCTCTCTCACCACTCCTTCCTCTTTCTCTTTAGCTTTCTCTCTCTCTCCTCTCGTTCTAATTTCTTGCGATGCCATAATCCCTCACGTGAATGCATGTGAAAAGAAATGTCCATCATCCTACCGTCTGGCCACAACCGGAAGGATTAACTCTTCATCCAACCGTCTTTATATATATATATATATATATATATATATATATATGTGTGTGTGTGTGTGTGTGTGTGTGTGAATGCATGTTCATGTATTTTAAAATACGTATCTGAACACACATGCACATATACCAATAAATAACGCTACATACCACAAATTGCTTGTTTTAGAGCAGGTACGTAAGTACATACGTATATATGTGGGAAGAAAGATGTGGGGGGGGAAATAGAGAGTAATGAGGAGAAAAATCATCCATGCAAATTTCAGTAAATCTACTGCATTTTCCCGTATATGCAGATATTGAAGTGGGTTATATATCTGTAAGGTCCTCTCTCTTCCTCTTTCATTCTTTTCATATCTGCATATGATTCTCAGTCATTAGATCTATCTATCTATCTATCTATCTATCTATCTATCTATCTATCTATCTATCTATCTCATACTGTTCCAATCTATCTATCTCATACTGTTCCAATCTATCTATCTATCTATCTATCTATCTATCTATCTATCTGAATCTATTCATATCTATCTATCTATCTATCTATCTATCTATCTATCTATCTATCTATCTATCTATCTATCTCAGACTGTTCCTATCTATCTATCTATCTATCTACCCCAGACTGTTCCTATCTATCTATCTATCTATCTATCTATCTATCTATCTATGTTAATATTTATCTAGGGATCTGTTTATAACAAAGGCATTCTAATTCTATTTCAGTCCTTTCCTATCTATCTATCTATCTATCTATCTATCTATCTATCTATCTATCTGAATCTATTCATATCTATCTATCTATCTATCTATCTATCTATCTATCTATCTATCTATCTATGTTAATATTTATCTAGGGATCTGTTTATAACAAAGGCATTCTAATTCTATTTTAGTCCTTTCATATCTATCTATCTATCTATCTATCTATCTATCTATCTATCTATGGATATATATCTATGTGTTTCATATATATATATATATATATATATATATATATATATATATATAATTATTTTGCTCAAAGAAGGTGATAAATGCACCTACGACAAACGCGATTACTGAGTGGGAAAGAAACAGAAATGGCAATAAAAGAACAGGCGGACAGGAGATGACAATTGGTGTTCCATTTAATATTTATTTGAAGATCGCAGTTGAAAGTAAAGCAAGAAGTCGGAATAGAGTTTTAAAAAAGAAGAAACTATTAGCATAGAACTTACGGTTATAACTAGAAATTTCAATAGTAAAAGTATGAGAGTAAGCGTCTAATCCAATTACCATGAAAATATTGCTGCATTACTGTGGGTGAAAGTGACAGGAACGGACAGAAGTCGAAATCAGGAGCGATAAAATTTTTAGATTCTTCTTTGGCTTCTGCCAAGTATATCCAGATTTATAGAAGAAGCTCCAGGCCAATTATGGCAGACATTGTCGATGCGCGGACGAATATGAGTCTTACAAATATGCAAGTTAGTAAACCAACTTTCCTAGCAGAAGTCTTAGTAATTGGTTCAATATAATCGTTCGACTTCATGTCAGTAGAAATGTGAGGCCGAGAATGCGGAATCAGTTGCTCTCCTGGAGGTTAGCATCAGCCATATTGAGGGAAAGCGAAAAAGTTCATTTCTTTGTCTGTCTGTCCTGTCTGTCTGTCAATCTCTCTCTCTCTCTCTCTCTCTCTATATATATATATATATATATATATATATTTCATGAATATCGTAACCGAAAACATTTCGTTGTCATAAAACATCTCGCACCCAATATTAATCTCACCTTATTTAGCAGCGGAAATAATCATTTTTAGAGCGCTTCGGACAATAGACTCTACGGATAATTTTTCACTCCCTTACCCCCATCAAAAGATAAAAAAAAAGTAAGAATATTAGTAAAACTAAATAAAAATAATCATCAAATTTTTCTTCTCTACCATATTCATCGGAACATGCTTGAAAGAAAGGTTGCCGCCTAAATATATTATGAATTGGTTTAAGTCCGACAATCATTTTTAATAAATGTTCTGTTTATACGAAAAAATATCATATGCGTCCTTCGACAAGAATCAAACCTGTATCCTACACGGAACCGTCATTTGGCTTGATGTGTTATACCATTTAGCCACAGACGAAGCGTCTGGTTAGCGAAGTCAAATTACTGTTTTTAAACAACAAATTTCCCATGATTTTTCTCGAACGATCGTATCTGCTCGAAGTTTATTTTAACGTAAACAAACAAAAACATATATTATAAAATGAACTAAGTCCGACAATTATTTTTTGTATCATTCAGATAAATGTAGGTAAAACTGTTTATTATAAAGAAAGCATTTAAATTAAATATTTAAAACTATAAAATTATATATAAACAGAATATATATATATATATATATATATATATATATATATATATACAGAATCTGCCTAAAAAAAAAAAACACATTTCAGGAAAGAAAGCTTGTCTTACGCAGTTTTATCAAACTGCGATTACACTATTTACTGCAGTATTTTTCGGCGGATAAAATTGCTTTCATTGTTGTAGCATCAACAATCCTAAAGGTTGTTGTGTATCGCAGAAAATCGCCTTTCATTGGTGGCCCTCAGACAAGAAATTGAAAATACATGTGCAACAATCCTACTGGACACTTTGGCCAACGTTGCCCAATCAGTAGTTTGCTGTAATAATAAATGTCTGTAAGATAAAGGCCACCATTTTGAACATCTCTTGTGATTGTGGAGTTCAAAGGTGACTTGTATTAATCTCGTGATGTCTGAATAAATTTAGTATTACAATATCTACACAAGTTTTTTCTTTCATGAAGTGTGTACCCTGTTTGGCCGGACCTTGTATATATATATATATATATATATATATATATATATATATATATATATATATATATATATATATATATATGAAATGGATTAAGTCCGACAATTATTTAATATATTTTCTGTTTATACGTCATTTTTAATAGATGTAATTTATATAAGTAAATCTCCCCCCTTTTTTTAAATAAACAGTATTAATTATATTTTCCAGTCTGAATCTTCGAGAAATTTCGTAGAAAATATGCTGTCTCCGATAGCAATCGAACCTGTGTCATATACGGAACCGTCAATTGATCTGACGTGCTATACCGCTCAGACAAAGAGAAGGGTTTGATTAGCAAAGTCCAAATTACTGTTTATAAACAACAAATCTTCGACGATCTTTCCCGAACGATCATATCTGCTAACAAAATGTACTTTAATTTAAACATTGACAACATATTATGAAATGGATTATGTCCGACAATTATTTAATATATTTTCTGTTTATATGTTATTTTAAATAGATACACTTTATTTAAACAAATGCTCTGTTTTTTTAAATAAACAGTGTCCAGTCCGGTAAATGTAATTAATACTGTTTATTTAAAAAATAGAGCATTTGATTAAATTAATAGTATGTATTAAAAATGACGTATAAACAGAATAAAATGTGAATTAAGTTTAAGCATCAAATGATTTTTTTCTTTTTCTTTCATATTTAACAACTTAAGTCTTTGACAATTTCAACCATGGAAAAATTAACAGTCAGACAACGGGTTAAAGTTATCGGTGCCTATTACGAAAATGGACGTTCACATTTATGAATGCAGTGGCTTTTCTACAATCTTCCTTGGATTTTCATCAGCTCAAATGCGACAATTCTGCTTATTAAAAAATCAACCAGAATGAAAATGGCTTTCATTACTAAAGAGGATTTTTTTGCAAAAAATCTTCATCAGCTTGTCTTTGCTCATGCACCCAATTGACAAATGTACGGCGCTTCAAATACTCACCAGGTTTCAGTTCGTGTAAATTGAATTTTGTAAACGTGTAGAGACAAATCTTTTGTCAAAATTCAATGTAACTTTGTTGTGAAGATGTTCAGTTCCTGCGCGCGATAACGAATAGAGGGGGTCTGGATTTTCGGCCATATTCTCGTGCACTGCAGCAATGTTTTCAGTATAACAGCGTAAACGAGCGCGCAATGGTGTTTTCACATTTGCCACCGACCAAGTTTGTTTGAATTTACAAACAATTTTTCTAATTACACTCTTGGTTGGTCGATTATGTTGACCCCTAAAAGTCGCGAATGCATTTCTGTTTGAACGTCTATTTTCGTTATAGGTTTCGATAAATTTAACACGTTGCTTGATTTTTAATCTTTGCATGGTTGAAACTGCCAACGACTTAAGTTGTTAAATCTGAAAGAAAAAGAAAAAAAATCCCTAGGCGCTTAAAATTAATTCACATTTAAAATCGGTCCAAGTTATTGGACCGATTTCAACAAAACTTCACAGGACTACGTAAAATTACCTTGCAGTGGTTCTGACAGCGAAAAACAATTATTTTTGCACGAAATCAATTTGAAAACACGATTAAGAGGCATCGCTGTCGCGAGAATGAAAGGGGGACAACTCATATCGAGTTATAATTATAAATCCCAGGTTGTTTGTTTGTCTGTGTGTGTTCATTTATATATGGGATCGGATTTCCTACATTTTTCAGCCGATTTCAACAAAACTTCACTTTTTTTGGCAGGTAGTGTTTCTTATTGTCTTGCACAGCCTTTTCTTTATTTTTACATTCAGAATGCTTTAAAAATTCCATTTACAAGACAATTGTTTATAATAAAATTCAATTCAATCGGTAGACTCATAACGATTGAAAACAATGTTTTTGTTTGAGTTTGGGTTTGATCAATTCGTAAAAAAAAAAAAAAACTAATTAAGACATGCGTGTCCGTCAACCTTAAACAATAATCTTTGTCAATTTTATTTTTCAGTCTTTATGATGGTGGATACTTGATCTATCTCTTACTGTTACATCACCGGGCAACGCTGGGCTCTACTGATATATATATATATATATATATATATATATATATATATATATATATATAACGATTTAGAAAAGCACGAAGGAATTTTTCCTTTTAAAACTCCTTTCGGCCAACCCTTCGCCGGATGGAAAATATTGGCGTAGTTTATGTCGAATAAAAAGGACAATTCACACAGTAATGAAAGTAAAAAAAAAATACGTGAAGGAGGTAAATTATGGAACACGTTTAAAATATATTTATTGGTAAAACAATTTACGAATAAGAATAAATAGTTCTAAGTGAGTATATAATTGAAAAATTAGTACTCACGAATCTTCTAAAAGATTGAGGGAGCTAATTAAATACTCTTTATATTTTCAGAGAGCCGATTTATGTAACTTAATGTGGGCCGTTTCAAAGGGACGTAAATAATGAGCAGAGCGGGCACTGTGCAAAACTGCGAAGGAATCGTTCACATATTTACTCGCACGGTGTAGGTTAAGTGCTGGCCAATGAGCGAATCATGCTCAGACTGTCTTACTCTCAAAGTGTCACTCAAGCCATCCAGTCTTATACTGGCAGGAACGTGCTAATTAATTTGGGTTTCCAGTCACTGATTGACGCGTCCTACGTATTCAGCTTCACACTGACATTTGAATTTGTACACGATGGAACTATTTTGAAAATAGGACAGTCAATCTTTGACAAATGAAGGAAACACTGAATTATTACCCAAAACAACACGCAACCTGGCAACAGAAAAACCTGATGTAACATAAGACGACACTCTGTCAGCGAGCGTTTGACTTTTCCCATCCAACGACGCTAATTTCACATAAACAGGACAAAGGCTGAGATCGAAAACCACCTGTTCTTTAAAGAGTTTAATCTTACTCTCAACAACGCGTTTAATGACATTCGCATAATACCAATTGTCACAAACAATATGATGAATGTTCTCCAGTTCTTGATCGAATCTACATCAACGCACCGATGGATCAAGTTAGAGATCAGGTTGATCTTCCAAGAGTTGGGGACAAAACAATGCCAGTTGGTATATGGATCTGCGAACGTAGACTTCCGATAATCACTGGTAATGAACAAATCAACCTTAC